GAATCAAATAGATGCAATAAAAAATGATAAAGGGGATAACTTGACTGATCCCACAGAAATACAAACTACCATCAGAGTATACTACAAACAATTCTATTCACATAAACCAGTAAACCAGGAAGAAATGGATAAATTCCTAGACACTTGTATTCTAAACCAGGAGGAAATTGAAACCCTGAATAGACCAATAACAAGGGCTGAAGTTGAGGCAGCAATTAATAGCCTACCAACCAAAAAAAGTCCACGTCCAGATGGGTTCAGAGCTCAATTCTACCAGACATACAAAGAGGAGCTGGTTCCATTCCTTCTGAAACTGTATCAAACAATACAAAAGGAGGGAATCCTCACTAACTCATTTTATGAGACCAACCTCATCCTGATGCCAAAACCAGGCAGAGACTCAACTAAAAATGAAAACTTCAGGCCAATATCCATGATGAACATCAATGCAAAAATCTTCAATAAAATACTGGCAAAGATTGCAACAGCACATCAAGAAGCTTATCCATTATGATCAAGTAGGCTTCATCCTGGGGATGCAAGGCTGGTTCAACATATGCAAATCCGTAAATGTAATCCATCACATAAATGGAACTAAAGACAAAAACCACATGATTATCTCAATAGATGCAGAGAAGGCCTTTGATAAAATTCAACAGCCCTTCATGCTAAAAACTCTCAATAAACTAGGTATTGACAGAATGTATCATAAAATGATGAAAGCTATATATGACAAACCTACAGCCAATATCATACTGAACAGGCAAAAGCTGGAAGAATTCCCTTTGAAATCAGGCACTAGACAAGGATGCCCTCTCTCACCACTCCTATTCAATGTAGTATTAGAAGTTCTAGCCAGAGCAATCAGGCAAGAAAAAGAAATAGAGGGTATTCAATTAGGAAAGGAGGAAGACAAACTGTCTCTATTTGCAAATGACATAATTGTATATCTAGAAGACCCCATCATCTCAGCCCCAAATCATCTCAAACTGATAAGCAACTTCAGCAAAGTCTCAGAATATAAAATCAATGTGCAGAAATCACAAGCATTCATATACACCAATAATGATTTAAAGAGAGCCAAATCAAGAGGGAACTCCCATTCACAATTGCTACAAAGAGAATAAAATACCTAGGAATACAACTAAGAAAGGATGTAAAGGACCTCTTCCAGGAGAACTACAAACCACTGCTCAAGGAAATAAGAGAGGACACAAACAAATGGAAAAACATTCCATGCTCATGGTTAGGAAGAATTAATATTTTGAAAATGGCTATACTGCCCAAAGTAATCTATAGATTTAATGCTATCCACATCAAGCTACCAATGACTTTCTTCACAGAACTGGAAAAGACACCTTAAACTTTATATGGAATCACAAGAGAGCCCGCATAGCCAAGTCAATTCTAAGCATAAAGAACAGAGCCGGAGGCATCACACTGCTGGACTTCAAACTATACTACAAGTCTACAGTAATCAAAACAGCATGATACTGGTACTAAAACAGAGACCCCAGAAGAAACGCCACACATCTGCAAACATCTGATCTTTGACAAACCTGAAAAAAACAAGCAATGGGGAAAGGACTCCATGTTTAATAAATGGTGTTGGGAAAACTGGCTAGCATTGTGCAGAAAGCAGAAACTGGACCCCTACCTGTCACCTCACACTAAAATTAACTCCAGATGGATTAAATATTTAAACATAAAACCTAACACCACAAAAACACTAGAAGGAAACATAGGCAAAACCATCCAGGACATAGGCATAGGCAAGGGCTTCATGACTAAAACACCAAAAGCAATGGCAATAAAAGCCAAGATAGATAAATGGAATCTAATTAAACTCCAGAGCTTCTGTACAACAAAAGAAACCATCATTAGAGCAAATCGGTAACCAACAGAATGGGAAAATATTTTTGCAATCTACCCATCTGACAAAGGGCTAATATCCAGAATCTACAAAGAACTAAAACAGATTTACAAGAAACAAACAAGCCCATTCAAAAGTGGGCAAACAATATGAACAGACACTTTTCAAAAGAAGACATACATATATGAGGCCAACAAACATATGAAAAAATGCTCATCATCACTGGTCATTAGAGAAATGCAAATCAAAACCACACTGAGATATCATCTCACTCCAGTTAGAATGGTGATCATTAAAAAGTCTGGAGACAACAGATGCTGGAGAGCATGTGGAGAAATAGCAACACTCTTACACAGTTGGTGGGAGTGTAAACTAGTCCAACCATTGTGGAAGACAGTGTGGCGATTTCTCAAGGATCTAAAAATAGAAATTCCATTTGACCCAGCAATCCCATTACTGGGTATATACTCAAAGAACTATAAATTGTTCTACTATAAATACACATGCACACGTATGTTCATTGCAGCCCTGAATACAATAGCAAAGACCCGGAACCAACCCAAATGCCCATCAATGATAGACTGGACAAGGAAAATGTGGTACATATACACCATGGAATACTATGCAGCCATAAAAAACGATAAGTTTGTATCCTTTGTAGGGACTTAGATGAATCTGGAGACCATCATTCTCAGCAAACTGACACAAGAACAGAAAGCCAAACACTGTATGTTCTTACTCATAGGTGGGTGTTGAACAACGAGAACACATGGACTTAGGGAGAAGAGCATCACACAATGGGGACAGTGGAGGGGGGTAGGAGAGAGACAGCAGTGGGTGGGGAGGGATAACGTGGGGGAGAAATGCCAGATATAGTATGCACCCAAAGTAAAATACATAAATAAATAAAAATATATGCCTTTATGAATAAATTGATGCAGTTTGAACTGACTAAATGTTTATGGACAGTTCTTGATCATTCCCATGTTAATACCATGTAAATGGACATAGAAATTTAACATAATCATTGAACATTAAGTATTGTAGTGAAAGAGGTGTAACTAGATTAAACTGGAGATGAAAACATTAAGTAAAAAAAAAAATAAAGTCTGTACTCTCCAAAGCAGTCTACAGATACAATCTCTAACAAAATCCCAACAGCATTTTTAACAAAGATAAAAAAAGTCCTAAAATTCACAAAGAACCACAAAAGACCCCAAATAGATAAAGCAATTTTGAGAAAGAAGAACAGAGTTGGAGGCAAACATCCCCTGATTCAAATTATATTACCAAGCTGTAGTTATCAAAACAGTATGGCACTGGCATAAACCCATGGGACAGAATAGAGCACTCAGAAATAAATGCATGCTTTTATAGTCAACTAGTTTTTGAGAGGGTGACAAGACTACACAATGGAGAAAAGATTATCTCTTCAATAAAGAGTGATGGAAAAATGTTCCCATGCAAAAGAATGAAGTTAGACCTGTTACATAACCATATGCAAAAATTAACTTGAAAAGGATGTAATCTATGAAATTAAATTCCTAGAAGAAAACATAGGGGAAAAGGTCCATGATATTAGTCTTCGCAATGGTATTTTGGTTATGGCAACAAAAGTAAAAATAAACTTGGGACTTCATCGAATAAAAAAGCAACCTAGAGAATGGGAGAAAATATTTTTAATTAATTTATCTGATGAGTTAAGATCCAAAATATAAAAGAAACCCACATGCTCAACTACCAAAAAGTAATACCCCACTTAAAAAGTAGAGAAAAGAACTGAATTGATATTTTTCCAAGGAAGACACACAAATGACCAACAGGCATATGAAAAGGTAAAGGAATGCCAGGGCCTCCTACCTTCCTGTGGCTTCTTGTAACTGACTTTAAGTAGTTGCTGGCCACTTGCCAGAATGGCATGGAGAGATCAACACCATGTATGATGTGAATTGTTAGTGCTTTCAGTCTTTGCCATTAACAGCATCAAACGTAAGAACCAGTTGCAATACCATAGTAACCTGCAATGAAAGATGATGACCATAATAATAGCTGACATTTTCGGAAACGACTGTGACTGGCTGAAAGTCAGCAAGGACTTTCACACATGGATTAACTTTACCCTCTTACTATCCTGGGATGAGGATCTACTTTTCAAATGAAGAAACTGACACTAAGAGAAGTCTGAGAACTAGTCTAATCTAGACAATGGCACAGATTCAAACCCTGGCAGGCCCACCACAAAGCCTGAGATCTCAGTAGCTAAATTTTATAATTGGGCAGTCCACTGCAAAAGTGAACTATTTTTTATTTGTATAAATTTAAGGGTTCATAGTGGTAAAGTCAGGGCTTTTCATGTAGCCATCACCCAAATAGTGTACCTTGTATCCCTTAAGCAACTTCTTGTCCTTCCCACCCTTCCAAGTCTCCAATGTCTATTGTTCCACGACTCTACGTCTCTGTGTATGCATTATTCAGCTCCCATTTATAGGTGAGAACATGCAGTATTTGACTTTCTGTTTCTAGGTTATTTCACTTAAGAATCACCTCCAGTTCCATCCATGTTGCTGTAAAAGACATGATTTCATTATCTTCTGTGGCTAAGGAGTATTTGATAGCGTGTCTATACCGCATTTTCTTTATCCAGTCCTCCACTGATGGACACATGTTGATCCTATGACTTTGCTATTTATTGTTACTAGTGCTGTGATAAACATATGAGTGCAGGTGTCTTTTTCATATAACAGTGGCTTTTCCTTTGGGTAGATAACAAGTGGTGGGATTGCTGGATTGAATGGTTGTTTGATTTTTAGTTCTTTGAGAAATCTCCATACTGTTTTCCATAGAGGTTGTACTAATTAATCTTCACACCCTTATACACACAACAGTGTATAAGGGTTCCCTTTTCTCTGCATCGTCACCAACATCTGTTGCTTTTAAATATTTTAATAAATGAAATATTTTATATTGTAGAGTATATGCCTGATTGGGTTCCTTAAATTTACTAACAGTAAATTTATTCTTAATACCAATCTTTGAAGTCAGTGTACTAATTTGTACTGAGGTTTATTTTTTCCATCTTTGGAGGAAGAAACTCTGTCACAAATATTATGTGGCCTTTGTTTTTCAGCTTCCATCGTGATTCAGAAATGGTGGTGTCACATGAATCCCTGTTTGGAAGGAGAGGATTGTAAAGTGCTGCCAGATTACTCAGGTTGGTCCTGTAGCAGTGGCAATAAAGTCAAAACTACGAAGGCAAGTATAGACAAAATTCAACTACCATTTACAACTTGTCAACTATGGGGCTTCCTCCCCTTGATTTTATTCTGCCATCAAGAGAACATCATTATGTGCTGAAAAATCTGCTTGGGCCTTTTTGAAAAGCCCATTTCCCAGCATCATCCTGTGTGTCAGATTTTATAGAGCAGTGATTTGGTGGGAGAATTCATTATTTTAGGCAGTGCCACTAAATTCATTTCAACTTCTTCACAAGCCCGATTTAAAGTACAAGCTTCAGAGTTGACAGGGCAATGTATCAAAACACCATGGCAAGAATCCATATCCAGATGATTTACTGAAGTAGAAATACCCACTGCTTTAAAGGAGATTTAATGGTTGGAAATTCTTATTCAACACTTAGAAGCCAACACTTTTCACCCCAAATAGTATTATTTTTAATTCTCACCATCTCTGAAGAATGCCATTGTCTACCCAGCTCTGCAGCCAGAAACCTACCTTCTTCCCCTTATCTTCCCATGTTCAGTTGGTTACTTTGTCCTTATGTTTTTACTACCCAACTTTTCCATGATTCTTCCACACTGTGCTTAGTCCTCTTGTCCCATCTGCCCTTTCATATGAAGATGCATCTGGACTGCTAGGTTGCTGCCTTCTAGGCTGGTCTCCATACAGTGACTACAGTAATTTTGTAAAATGCACATCCTCTAAGCTAGTCTACCTCGAAATATTCCACTGGCTCCCTCTGGTGACTGGTCCACTAGCCTCTGCCTGGTGCTTAATGAGTAACATGGCAAACCACTTCCCCTTCCTTCTGGCTGCTCTAAACACCCTGGACTTTTGTCAGTCCTTCTTATCTCCTGGTCCTTTTGCACTGGCTGCTCCTTCTCTCTTCATAGAATATGTTTCCCTCCTTTCTTTTCTAGTTAATCATAATCTTTTCAGGGACTCCTTTACTGATTGAAATCCTGCTCCCTCTATCTCTGAGCATTTACTCTGGTTACATTTTACATAGATTGCTGTGCTTATTTTGCTTAATACCTAGAGCTTTCATCTAGTGGGAGAGCTTTCATGTTGGGCCCTGGCTTTTTTTTTTTTTTTTTTTTTTTGCTTTCCCTGGAAGAAAGGAAAGTCCCTTTCTACCAGCTAGTCCCAGAGCCAGCTGACTGCCTTGGGAACTATTTCTTGAATGAAAACCAACATGACCAAGGTCATTGTAAGATCATTAGAGTTAGACATACTGGAGTGGAGTGACTCTTTCTGGTTGCCACTGAGCTTTGACCCCTTAGGAAGTACATACAGTGAATGGCTTCTTGCCTTTCTTATGTATCCCCTTTATGAATACTTTGAGAACTCTTAAGTGTTTAGTAATTCATCCTCAGCCATGGAAGTCAAAAGCAGGCCAGTTTTCCTTCTAAGTGTGAACATGAAATATTACATTAAATATGACTTTTTAAAATATATTAAAATAGAAAGATATTAAATCTAAAACAAAATATTAGAATGGATGATAGTACAATATATTTTAAGTTAAATGGAAACTTTAGCTGATATTATACCCCAGATTATCAATGGAATAGTTGTCAGTTGATTCTCTGTGTAAAACCAGAATGTCAAAATCAAGACCATTTTCAACACTAATTGTGATTATCAACTAACTTATCCTTGTTAGTGATACTGGGATGAGGATGTGATATCTTCTTTTATATCCAGGGCAGCAATGTCCATAGAGTCATTTATTGGTGGTGCAAGGAGGTCAACCCTCCCATCGTTCTAAGCCATTCTAAATAAACTTACATAAACCCAGGGTGCTTGCTCAGCAAACCCTGCCTTAAGATAATTTCCCTATCTTTCCCTTTATTTAAAGCAAAAAAACATAGTATTGCAGTATTTATAAATTCAGCTATTTTTTCCTAATTCCTTCCTAAGTAAAAATCCTGGAGTAACCCGTGAATTAGGGTATTACATCTGTCAGGGATAAAAATTTTCTTTCATCATATTTCTTGTAGGCTAAGGAATAACATTTTGGAAGATTATGTTTGTATTGATTTTTATATATAAATATAAAACAAGATCATAAGCAGAAGCCAACTGTAGTTCTCTTGGTGGAATGGCTCTCTATTTATGTGTAGTTAGAGAAAGCATTTGCAGGAAGCAAACCTTTAGGGGCACTTTGGCTCTGTGCTGGGAATGTAAGTTTGCTCTAGCTAAATCCTCAACGGTAGTGACATTTCATTTAGCACTTTGAAAAGTTGTAGAAAGATAATACAGTTCCCCAAGCCATCATACTACTTGGTCTGCTTTTTTAGTGATATGTCACTTGAGAATAATCTTGAAGTCATAAAACTTTGTTTCCTTTATTAATCCGAGTCAGTGTGACTTAAACTGCATAAAACATTTTATGTCTTTTATCGATCTTATGCACATAGAGTAAATTCATTTGTGGATCTGTGACTAGATTCCAGTAGTACCTAGTATCCTTTTCCTAAAATTGTTACTGACCTTACACCACAGGTGAGACACAGGTCCTATAAATGCAGAGCAATTGCCTTCCTAGAGGATGTGTTAACTAAACTATATAACAAAATAGTTTCCGTATTCTTTAAACAGTTCATGCATAGCAGCATCAAAACATAGAAAGGCTAAAGTAAGATGGTCTGCAATAAGCCAGCTATGTCAGAATTTTCCATTTAAATGCAAAAATGAAAATAGTTGACAGTGAATTTGAGTATTAATAGCTTTAGATGAAGACATGAAAATAGGGGAGAGGATAATTCCCTAACTGGTCATCTTTTCCAGGTATAAAATAGTGGCATTGAGTTTAGAGAGGATACGGCTACTGCCTCTTGTGGGAGAATATAACTCTGTCTGTGGACCGGCCTTAATTTTTTTTTTCCTTCATTGAATCTGGGTTTTGCTGCATTATGTGTGCTAAAGAGTTCCTTACTGTTTGGGGTTGCCATTGTTAAGTATTCTAACAAGTATATGATGTCTTCTTAGCATCAAAGCCAAGCATTGGCCAGAATTTATTTGTGAGTAGAAGCAAATCACTTTGAATCTTGAGATATTTTAGATTTTTTAATGTTTTTATTTTTGAATAGTCTACTAAGGGTGAAAAGCTATGTCTTTAAAGTAGTTCTCAACCAGAGGCAGTTTTTTTTGCCTCTGAGTAGTGTCTCGGATATTTCTGGCCATCACACTTTGCAAGGATGCTACTGACATCTTGTGGGTAGAAGCCAGGGATGCTGCTAAACATCCTACAAAGCACAGATAGCCTCTACAACAATTATTTGGCCCCAAATGTCAATGTATGGAGGTTGAAAAACTGCTTTAGAGAACAGTATATTTTTTTCAATAGCTGTTTGCAAACTTCCTACTTGAAAGTTTCTATTGTCTAGATATTTCCAGTATTTCATATTGGAAAATTTCCACAGAATTGAAGCAACAGTCTTGGCTTCAGCACCTTCCAAGTATTTTCCTCAAATGGTTCTCTAATCTGCCTGTCTCTTGGGCCATCACTATAGACCATTGTTAGTATCATAATAACATAATGATATCATGAAAACGTGTAAAAAAAAAACAAAAACACAGTTTTGAACTCTACCTCTAGGATATTCTGGTATAGTAAGTCTGGGATAGGGCTTAGAAAACTCTGCTTTTTAAAAATAGTTGTTCTTAGGGTGATTGTGATGAACAGGCAGTATGAGGGAACCATTAGTCCAACTGAGCTCTCTACCTGTTCTCACCTTTAATTGACTTATGCCCTGCTTTCTCTGCAACAAGGAGAAACTCTCTGCCCAGGTTCCCTCCCTGTTGAAAGACCATCAATGGATCCCCATTGGAAACTTATGCAAAATACAGATTATAGGCATCTTACATGGGCCTTCACTGCCAATCATTGTATAGGCCACATACTTCCCCATACCGTTGGTTCCTCCTTCTTCCACTTCCCCTTCTGAAATTCCACTTGTCTTTTAATGTCCAGCTCAGATGACTCCTTTACCCTGAAGTTTTGTCCTCCCTGATCTCTGTAGTCAGACTTGAAGTGCTCAAGGTACCCTGATGAAAGGGAGTACAGCTAATATTGGCATCTTAGTACCCCTGTATCCATTACAATTCAGAAGCAGCAATGAATCTTCCACATGTAATCAGTACAATAAAAATTTTAAAGGAAAATAAAACAGAGTTTTATCATCCAACTTCAGGTAAAGTTGTCCACAATGAGCTGGGCATGGGGAATGAGTTGTCTCAAAGAAGATGCTTTTGACAATTACATCCTGCATATAGATTGAGAGATATCAAAAGAGCTAACATTACAATAGCCACCATTCCCTGAGTACGAACCATGTGTTAACCACTGGGTTGTGTCATTCAAGTCACGTACTTTATTCACTCTTTGCTACAACTGAAGGGGGCAGGTACTATTATCTGTATTTTGGAGATGAAGAAACTAAGGCAAAGAGAGACAATCTACCCCAACACAGAACATGGCTAGCTCCATCATTCAGTTGCTCAAGCCACAAAGATCTTGGAATTGTCCTTAACTCCTCTTTTTCTTACATCTTTATCTTATTTGTCACAACCCTTTAAGTTGACAGTCCTGTCACGCATTCCTCATCTCTTCCTTGATCCTCAGTCAGAGAAAGGCCAAAGTCTTTGTATTTACTTCTTCCTCTCTTCCCAGTGAGTCAGGCCTCCCTCACTTCCTTCAACCTTCCCTGACATAATGTATAGAAGAGCAGTCCTCTACCCTCCCTGCCCCAGCCAGCCTTTCCCCTTTATACTACCTTACTTTTCTCCATAGCCCATATTGTTAATATGTACCTGTTTGTCCAACTTCTTCCTCTAGAATAGGGATGAGAAAACTGTGGCTTCAAGGCCAAATCCAGCCCTGGGCCTGGTTTTGTATGGCTCATGAGTTAAGACTGGGTTTTACATGTTTAAGTGGATGGAAAAAATCAAAAGGAGACTTTTTCAGAATACATACAGATATGAAATTCAAATGTCACCATCTATATATTAAGTCTGGAACAAAGCAATGCCATTCATTTATTTATTGTCTATGGCTGCTTTTGTGAATGAAATAAAGGCAGAGTGCCTTTATTTCATATCGAGTATTAATATGACTGCTACAGTGACTATATGGCCTGTAAAACTGAAAACGTTTACCATATTTAGTCCTTTCTAGTAAAAGTTTTCCAGTTTCTGTGCTAGAAGGTAAACTCCATGAGGGCGGGGATTTTGTTTCATTTGCTGTAGTTATCTAGCAGAAACAAAAGGGCAGAAATACTGTTGAATACATAAAGGCCGTATGTCAGATAATAGCAAGGCTAAGGTTTGCATAAATAGCTGATTGAATATAAAGCACAGGTAGGGTAACTATATTATCAAATAATTTGCTTTGAAAAAATGTTTTTGTGATACAGGCATGTTAAAAAGTCTTATGCTTTTTTCCCTCACCTAAGCTGGTATATTGACTAACACGTAAAATTTCTTACACGACGAATCAACTATAGAAATACTGTTCTATTTTCTTAGATCATAAGTAATGAGCCTGAATGTTTAAAAAGGAAAAATGCAGCCACTACCATTTTAAATGATACAGTAGTTTTATAAAATAATCTATTTTAAAAAGTGAAAGTTAACTGCATTAAAAAAATAACAAAGGGAACATTTTTATCTTGACATGACTGATTTTAATCAGCCATTTATTTGAAAAAATTTTAGTGCCATTAACAAAGCATGTTCAGCATGTATGAATTGATGGGTGATGAGTGTACTTAATCAAATGGGATTTTTATAACCTCACAAATACAAAGCCAGACTGCATAATCCCTGTTATGGAAGCCTTTGTGTATGTATTCTTTAAATTTCTTGTTTGTAGGCTGCAAAGCAGAATTTGAACAGTTGATTTGGTGAGGTTGGTTACACACAAATGTACAAATTGATAAACTATTCAGTCAGGACCTTATTGTTCCTGGGGGAGGAAATGGTTATTTTGGTGGGTATGGAGTGTTCAATGTTCCCTTATTTGATTTGTTTTAGGTAACACGGTAGCAAAGAGAGAGGTGTGCTTCATTCCTGGAGGGGCAGCAGGATGCAGATCTCATTTGCTGAAATTCCCATCCTGGCCACTTTGCAGAAAATTGTCTTGGATTTCAGCAACTTCATATTTGTATATGTGTGCTGTGAGAAGTGGCATTCACTTAACTGGCCCAGCCCTCTCTGCTTTGTGATTTTATTTCATTGAATTTAACTGCAAGCCACCATTCATTTGACATCCTATCTGGATTCCCAACGAACATACCTCCAAAATCCTAGAAGAGCAAATCACAGTTTTCAAAATACATCACGACTACGAACACCTTCGGTCTTTACTTTCATTTGTACTTTCTTTCTACCTTTACAAAAGAACTTGGATGTATGTTTCAAAAGATCCTGTTCTGTTCCTCTTTTGACTTTTCCTTTTGCTTTTGTATTAAGTGGTTTTAAAGGGGTCTAAATAAAAGATTTTTAGCAAATATATTTGCAGATGTAGATTAATTGGCGAAGAAAACTACTGGTAGAGATCAAGTGATTAACTGGTAAAAAGAACATTTATTTTATAAACCCTTGACAATAGAAGGACATAGTTGGAATGTTGTGTGTGCATTGTATTTTTTACTTTTGACAATTTTTTTGCATTTTGCTTTCCATTGTCAGGTTAGCAGAGATAAAATGAGAGTGTTTTAACTTCAATGCACCATTTTACTGAGTGCTAAGGAAGCATATCAATTCCAATATTTTATAACCAAAGCTCTATCAGAACATATTTATAAAATGTGTTGAAGTTTTTATGGCTTTTGTGTAGTCATGAAGATAAATCATTTAAAATATAAAACAATCTAAATTTAGATCAAGGGTGATTTCTTAGATCAAATTTATGCCAATTCTATGAAAATATTTTGTTACCTCCCGAAGAGGAGTCTTTCAGTGCTGAAATTTTAGACAGTAAATGAGTTGTTCTTAACTTAGCTGTTTCCCTACTTGTTAGCCATCTTATTTCTTTAAAACCTGAGTCTTGAATGGCTTAATGATTTTTCAGCAGACATGTCTCCACATATTCACAGATGCTGTCATGCAGAAACGTATGAAACAGATGAAGAACGACTAAGCCAGATTTTAAATGTATAATATTATTAAAATACTACAAAAGTATGGGGTGAATTTTGTATATTAAGAAATGCCAAAAACATAGTTTCTGCACCAAGTTAATTAATTATCCCTGTCCTTTCACATTTTGGGGGGAAAGTAAATCAATACTTCAATGTCGTTTATAGCATAACAGTTACCTGATTTTATTCTTGCAGAAGGAATGATTTGTTTGCTAAATTTTTGCCTAGATGCTTACTAAATTTGTTATGATCATATGAATAAGTAAAAAAATTCATCCTGCTTATGGCATACATGTTTTTGTGGTTATATATGCCTTAAGACTGTTAACATTCTACCTAGGCTTGCACATTTTAAATGTGAAAAACTCCTTTTAAAAATAACTTTAAAAATAACATTTAACTTTGGGGATGTGAACTATATAGTAAAGTTGCCACATGTATTTGAGTGGCTCCATTTCTTCTCCCAAGCTTATTTACCACCAACCTTAGGCACACTCATTTAGTATTGAGTTAAAATATATCTAAGGCGATTTTATGGTACATGGAACAGTAACTTAATTTTTTAGCCCATGTGTCTGATCTTGTACCCCAAATAAGATCAAGTAACAATGACACTACTTCACCTTAAGGTACATCCCTGGCGAGTAAACCACTTCCAGGGAATCAGTGGTCCATTGGGGAAAATGGCAGCCTCTTTAAGCCTTTCTCCACAGCCTAAAGCTTGAGGCAGCTCTGGAAAGCGTGAGCTGGCTGTTTCCTCACTGCTAGCTCTGGACATAAAATCACTTTCCTTTCACTTCGCTTCATCTTGTTATTGGTTTTACAAGTGGTGAGCAGATAAGCCTGTACTTGATTGTAAGAGCAGATACAATCTAGCATATGTTATGTGGATTTCCAAGGTTGCTTAAGTATACAGATGTGGCAACATTGAGCCTATGTTCTCTCACATCGACCCTGTTGGATGCAGAGGAGAAACTGTCCCTTTTATGGGTCTATATATACTCCCTCATCTACCACCATCACTACGTGGACAGCTTCTTTTATTTGAATTTTTGCAAGAACCTGTTGGTATGTATACAAGATTGAGCATTAACTCTTGAAAGTGGCAATGGAAACACCATACCAAAAATGCCTATTTCACAGATAAATTGGAAAATGCTTCTGTACAAAATTCTTTGTGCACTATTAGGGACCCACTGACCAAGGATAAATCCAATGCTAGTCTGATGACGAACTTCACCATTTAGTAAAGCAGTCTAGCCTGAACAAACTGGCATAGTATTTTCATATAACCTATGTACATCCTCCCATAAACTTTAAGACATCTCTAGGTTACTTATAATACCGAATACAATGCACATGCTATATAAATGGTCATTATACTGTATTTAGGGAATAATGACAGGAAAAAAGGTCTGTACATGTTCAGTATAGACACAGCCACCTTTATTTCCCCTCGAGTATTTTTGATCCACAATTGGTTGAATTTACAAATGCCCATGGACTGTAATAAGCTCCTAATAAAGTTGTGCACCATTTATGAATAACTTGTAGTCCAACTAGTCACTTCATGCCAAAAGAAACCAAAAAGTCTTCACTGAAAAGTGGGCTTAAGGTTTAAGTGCATGCAGCTGATAGAAAATTGGGAACAAATAAGACTAGATCTTTTAGTGTTTTTTTCTTGTTTCCAAGTTATTGAGAACTTGGGAAAGTAAAGAAAGGACGAACTCAAAGAACACTCAAGAATCATTGCTTCCTATTGCCCTTAGCTGTGAGTTTGGCACAATGTTGGAAACCCTTGTGCTTTCTTCATGGACAGGTAAATGCCTTGGCCTGTAATACCTATCTGGTGGACATGAGAGCACCACCGGAAAGATGCAAAATACGGGTTATCCCGATTGAATCTGAAACATGAGACAACAGATGCCAGCCAGATAGACACACACCCACACACCAGTTCTTTCAGGTTCATCTTGCAAAAAACTCAAGCCCCATTCAGCAGCCATAGGAAAGGAAACAATCATTTCAAGTTACAAAGTAATCTTGTAAACAGAACTTGGAACCAAAAAGCCCAGTGAATAATTGATGAACAGTTACTGATGCATGTTGGGCATCTTTGTAGTATTGATTTTTGGCTATGAAGAAAGCAGGACTCTGAAAGCTCATACTTTCATCTCTCTCCTATTCAGTGCTATCAGTCTTCATAGTCCACTTACATGTTAGGAATGTAACATGATGCACATTTTATGTTCTTCATTTGGGCCCTTGCTCTCTGTGGATGAGGTTTCTGACTCATCCCTTAATTATCAGCTTTGATTCTCTTAATGAGAACTTATCAAAATAGTTCAGGACACCGAATTATTAGTTGAATAACTGTAATTAATGATCAAGAGATGGAAGTAAGCAAATAAAGTTTAGTCTTCTACTTCCAAGTCTGAAATACTATTCTCAGCAGTTCAGTTGGGTCTCTGAACTTCTCTGCCTTCTCTTTGAATTTCAGCTTCACCATTGCTTTGCTACATATATTAAGTTCAGTGCTCAGTGTTGTATAGGCCATTCACAGATAACACAGAAAATAAAATCATGCCCTTGCTATTTTACCATTGCAATAACTGAAAAGAAAACAAAAAATAATCCATAGTTTCTCACACACAAGTCAATAGAGTTGGAATGTTTAGCTCAGCTCAGTGGGGGATGGGTTGAAATAGGAATCAGGACAATACTTCGGAATATTTAAATATTTATGAGTGCTATATATCTGATAGAAGACTGAAACTGATTCTGAATACTACAGTGAAGAAACTAAGGTAAAATTACTAGGTTTCAGCTTGACAAAGTTAGTGACAAACTCTTGAAACTGTCAAAGTCAGTTGATGCTGCCATGTGCTTTTTCAATCACTGTCTTTCCTGATTCACTACTAGAGCGCAGACAAGGAGTGGGGACTGGGGAAGGAATCTTTGAAAGATGCTGTGTCTCATTCCCAAGGGAAAGGGATTTTGCCTGCAGAAAATCAGTGCAGATGGCTCTGATTTGGCATGAACACATTTGGCCTAGGTCAGAGTGAGCCAAGTAGTGAGGGATTTGCATGGGTTTTTGGAGGGCTTTTACTTTACAAAAAAGATTAGGAAAAAGAGTAATCTTAAAGACTTTTCTTATTTGTTACTCCATTCCTCTTCTTTAAAACGAGCTATGTTGGTTTTTCTCTTCCCTCCTGACATCTCAAATGCAAAAAGGGGGCAGAAGAGAGTAGGGAACTATTTGGGTTCAGAATAGGGCTTGGAAGGAAGATCTGCCCAATAGGCAAATATTTGTAAAAACTGATCTGACTACATAAAAAAACAAAACTTTGCACATGACACAACCACATAAACCAAACTAAACTCAAACTGGAAACAGTATTTATAGCTCACATGGCAGACAAAATACTGATATATACAAAACTTTTACAAACCAGTAAGAAAAAGATGAACATCTCAATAGAAAAGTGAACTGAAGAGGGGCCAAGATGGCCAATTAGAAGCAACTGCAATCCACAGCACTCACAAAATGCTGAGTGAATTCTGCACCTGAGGTATCTAGGTTCTCACATTGGGACTGGCTAGGAGGATGACTAAACCCACGGAGAGTGAGGAAAAGCAGGGTGAGGTAATGGTCCACCCATGAGTGGCACAGAGCCAGGGGAACTACCACCCCCAGTTAAAGGAAGTGGTTAGTAAGTGTGTGACTCTTTCTGGGAAACCATGCTTTTCCCATGGATCTTTGCAACCAGTAGATCAGGAGATCCTTTCACGAGCCCACATCACCAGGACCTTGGGTCCAAAGCACAGAGTTATGCAGAGTCTTGGTGGAGTGGCTGCCCACCTGCTTACTGGGGCATTTAGGGAAACCTGGGAGTTTTGCATACTCCAGTTCCAGTAATTCCAGCAAGGCAGGAGATCCTGTGCATTCCCTAGGAAAGGGGCTGAATCCAGGGAGCCAAGTAGCCTCATTCTGTGGGCCCCACAACCATGGTACCTCACAAGTTAAGACCCAGTGGACTGGAATTCCAGCCAGCCAGCAGCAGCAGGCTGGAAATGGCCTGAGATGAACTGAGTTCCCAGGGGGAGGGGCAGCTGCCATATCTGCTGTTCCAGTTGGCTGCTGTAGCCTGCCAGTGCTGGGAACCAGGAGGAATTCCCCACAACACAGCACAGCTACTGTGCCTAATTGTGGCAGTCTGCTTCTTTAAGTGGGACACCAATCCATCCCTCCTCACTGGGAGGTGCTACCCTGTGGGAATTTCAGCAACTGCAGCCAGGTTTCTAGGGACAAAACTCTGATCTTTCCCTGGTGCTACCCCTCCCAGGAGAGAGGGGCCCCTACTGTCTCTGCAGTTAGCAGACTTAATCTTTCCAGGCTCCTGTCTCTGGAGAGGCCAGATGGTCAGTGCAATGCACTTGCTCTGCCAAGGAGCAGTCAGACTGCTTCTTTAAGTGAGTCTCTTATCCCAGTTCTTCTATCTGCATGGGACATCCCAACAGGGGTCTCCAGCACCTCCTACAAGAATGTTCTGGCTGGCATCAGGTCAGTGCCCCCCTGGGAGGAGGCTCCCAGAGGAAGGAACATGTTGACATCTTTGCTGTTTCACAGCCTTCACTGGTGATACCTCCAGGTATGGGAGGGACCAGGGTAACTATGATCTGGAGTGAACCCTCAGCAAACTGCAGCAGCCCAACAGAAGAGTGGTCTTACTGTTAAAACAACAAAACAGAAAGCAACAACCACATTAACAAAAAGACTCCACAAAACCCTGTTCAAAATTCAGCAACCTCAAAGATCGAAGGTCAATTACCTCACAAAGATGAGAAAGAATGCAAAAATTGTGAAAACTCAAAAAGACAGAGTGCCTCTTTTCCTCCAAATGATCACAACACCTCTCCATCAAGGGCACAGAACAGGGCTGAGGCTGCTGAAATGGATGAATTGACAGAAGTAGGCTTAAGGAGGCAGGTAATAATGAAATTCACTGAGCTAAAGGAGCATGTTGTAATCCAATGCAAAAAAGCTAAGAATCATCATAAAACATACAGGAGCTGATAACCAGAATAGCCAGTTTAGAGAGAAGCATAAAAGACCTGATGGAGCTGAAAAACACAACACAAGAACTTCACAATGCAACTACAACTCTCGATAGCTGAATACAGCAGGTGGAGGAAAGAATCTCATAGCTTGAAGACTACCTTTCTGAAATAAGACAGGCAGACAAGAATAGAGAAAAAAGAATGAAAAAGAATGAATAAAACTGCTATGAAAATATGAGAGTATGTAAAAAGACTGAACCTATGACTGGGGTACATGAAAAGAGATGGGGAAAATGGGACCAAGTTGGAAAACATACTTCAGGATATGATCAAAAACTTCCCAACCTAGCAAGAGAGGTCAACATTCAAATTCAGGAAATTCAGAGAACCCCAGCAAGATACTCAATGAGATCAACCCCAAGACAGATAATCATCAGATTCTCCAAGGTCAAAATGAAGGAAATAAATGTTAAGGGAAGCCAGAGAGAAAGGTTAGGATTAACTACAAAGGGAAACCCATCAGACTAACAGTGGGCATCCTGGCAGAAACCCTGCAAGTTAGAAGAGATTGTGGGCTAATCTTCAACCTTCTTAAAGAAAAGGATTTCCAACCCAGAATTTCATATCCAGCCTTCATAAGTGAAGAAGAAATAAGATTCTTTTCAGACAAGCAAATGCTAAGGGAATATGTTACCAGCAGGCCTGCCTTGCAAGAGCTCCTGAAGGAAGTGCTAAATATTGAAATAAAAATCCATTACCATCCACTTAAAAAGCATACTAAAGTACACAGAGCAGTGACACTATGAAGCAACCACATAAACAAGTCTGCAAATTAATCAGCTAGCATCATGGTGACAGGATCAAAGTCACACATAACAATATGGACCTTAAATATAAATAAGCTAAATGATCCAAGTAAAAGACACAGAATGGGAAGCTGGATAAAGAGTCAAGTTCCATCGGTATGCTGTCTTCAAGAGACTCATCTTAGGTGCAGACACACATAGGCCCAAAATAAAGGAATGGAGGAAAATTCACCAAGCAAATGGTAAACAGAAAAATGCAGGAGTTAAAATTATAGTTTCTAGTAAAACAGACTTTAAACTGACAAAGATAAAAAAAGACAAGGAGGGCATTATTATAATGGTACAGGGTTTAATTCAACAAGAAAAATGAACTATCCTAAATATATATGCACCCAATACAGGAGGACCAAGATTCATAAAACAATTTTTAGAGATCTTTAAAGAGACTTAGACCCCCACATGAAAGTAGTGGGAGATTTTGACACCCACTGACAATGTTAGACCAAGAAAAGAAAATTAACAGATATTCAGGACCTGAACTCAGCTTTAGATCAAGCAGACCTGATAAGAACTCTCCACCCCCAGACACTCTTCTCATTACTCTAAAATGGATCACATAATCAGAACTAAAACACTCCTCCGCAAATGCAAAAGAACCGAAATCATAACAAACAGTCTCTCAGACCACACAGCACAATTTACTTAAAAGTTAAGGTTTCGAAACTCATTCAAAACCACATGACTACATGGAAATTGAACAAACTGCTCCTGAATAACTCCTGGGTAAATAATAAAATTAAGACAAAAATCCAGGAGTTCTTTGAAACCAATGAGAACAAAGAGACAATGTACTAGTCTCTCTGGAATGCAGCTAAAGCAGTGTTAAGAGGGCAATTCACAGCACAAAATGCACACACCAAAAAGCTAGAAAGATTTCAAATTGACACCCTAACATCACAACTAAAAGAACAAGAGAACCAAGAGCAAACAAAACGCAAAAAGAGCAGAAGACAAGAAATAACCAAGATCAGAATGGAACTGAATGAGACAGGTACATGAAAAACTCTTCAAAAAATAAAAATTAATGAATCCAGGAGCTGGTTTTTGAAAAAATAAAATAGACTGCTAGATTAATAAAGAAAAAAACAGGGAAGGATCAAAGAGACTATCAGAAATGATAAGGAGGATATCACTATTGACCACACAAAAATACAGATAACCATCAGAGAATACTATGAACACCTCTATGCACATAAACTAAAAAATCTAGAAAAAATGTATAAATTTCTGGACACATTCACCCTCCTAAAACTGAGCCATGAAGAGATATGATCCCTAAATAGACAAATAAAAAGTTCTGAAACTGAGGTAGTAATAAATAGCCTACCAACCAAAAAACAGCCTAGAACCAGACAGATTTACAGCTAATTCTACCAGAGGTACAAAGAAGAGCTGGTACCATTCCTCCTGAAATTATTCCAAAAAATTGAAATGGAGAGACTCCTCCCTAACTCATTTTATGAGGCCAGCATCATCCTGATACCAAAACCTGGAAGAGATACAACAACAAAAAAACACTTCAAGCCAATATCCCTGATGAACATCAATGCAAAAATCCTTAATAAAAATTTGCAAACCAAATCTAGCAGTACACCAAAAAACTTATTCAGCATGATCAAATTGACTTTATTCCTGGGATGCAAGGTTGGTTTAACATATGCAAATCAATAAATGTGATTCATCATATAAACAGAGATAAAGGCAAAAATGACATAATTATCTCAATAGATGCACAAAAGACCTTGGATAAAATTCACCATCCCTTTATGTTAAAAACCCTCAATAAACCAGGTATTGAAGGAACATACCTGAAAATAATAAGAGCCATATACAACAAACCCATAGCCAACATTACATTAAATGAACAAAAAGCTGGAAGCACTCTCCTTGAGAACCAGCATAAGACAAGGATGCCCTCTCTCACCACTCCTGTTTGACACAGT